AAAAGGGGAAGGCCCTCGACAAGATGGATTGACAGTGGCTGCAACAATGGGCTCAAACATAGAAACAATTATGAGAATGGCGCAGGACTGGGCAGTATTTCGTTCTGTTGTACTCAAGGTCGTTATGAGTCAGAACCAACTCCACGGCACCTGACAACAACATAAAACACACAACAACACATGTGAGGAACGTGCTTCTTAGATCAATCAAGTATACAAGCAACACCTACCCAAAAACAAGACCAGAAGGCGGGAAGGGACAGGAAAATTGGGCAAATGGACCGGGGAACCTAGCATGGAAAGGGAAAGGGGAGAGCGCTGACACAAGGCGGGATTGCAACCAATGCCAGGAAACAATTTGTGAATAAATTTTTGAATGAGAAACTAATTTGTTCTACAAACTTCCACCTAAATCACAAAAAAAAAAAAAAAATTATCGAAAAGAAAAAGAAAGGAAAGTCTAAGAAATCGTAAAAGGAGACAATGACAACTAAATGTAATGTGGTATCCTAGATGGAATCCTGGAACAAAAAAAGAACATTAGGTAATAACTAAGGAAATCTGAATAAAGTATGGACTTTGCTTAACAATAATGTGTCAATAACAACAAATGCACCATATTAATGTAAGACACTAATGATAAGGGAAAATGAGTGCTGAGTACACAGGAAGAGTGTGGAGTATATGGGAACTCTTTGTACTATCTTCTAAATTTTTCAGTATATCTAAAACTATTCTAAAAAAAAAAAGTCTACTAAAAAGAAAAAAGAGGAATACAGGCTCTGGAGTCTTCCTGGTTAGAATCCTAGTCTGCCATTTCTGAGACTGTGACTTAAGGCAAGTTACTTAAATTCTCTGAGAGTCAGTTTCTCTGTCTATAAAATGGAAATAGTAAGAGAACCTACCTCATAGAATTTTTTGTGATAAGTAAATGACATAATCTATACAAAGTGCTTAGCACAGCGTCCGGCAAATAGTTCAGTGAACCAAAAACCAAACCTGCTGCTGTTGAGTGGGTTCTGACTCAACAGTGACCCTATAGGACAGGGTAGAACTGCCCCATATGGTTTTCCATGCCATGCCACATCTTTCATGGAGCAGCTGGTAGGTTCGAACTGCTAATCTTTCAGTTAGCACCCTAGCGTTTAACCACTGCGCCACCAGGGCTCCAAGCACTCAATAAACCAAAACCAAATCCAATTCTGACTCATAGCGACCCTATAGGACAGAGTAGAACTGCCCCATAGAGTTTCCAAGGAGTGCCTGGAGGATTCAAACTGCCTACCTTTTGGTTAGCAGCCGTAGCACTTACCACTACACCACCAGGGTTTCCAAGCACTCAATAGATGGCAGCTATTCTTATTACTTTTAATCTTTTATTGAATATTCAACTACAAATTTAATGTGATTTTACATTTAATTGTTTTAAAGTTATTAATAATAATTTCTATGATAATTTTCCTTCCTTTCCTGAGAGGAAGAAAATTGAATACAACCTACTACAGAGTATCTGAAGAAAAAAAAAAAGTTTCTCGGTGTACTGTGAGTATTGAGAGGTTTTACAGTATGAACCAAAAACAAAAAGATCCATTGCTGCGGAGTTGATTCCAACTCATAGCACCCTGTGGGACAGAACAGAACTGCCCCACAGGGTTTCCAGGGAGGGGCTGGTGGATTTGAACAGCCAACTTTTGGTTAGCAGCCGAGCTCTTAACCACTGTGTCACCAATGAACTGCTCCAAACAATTTAATTTAAATACCAATCTATGGTAATGTAATGAAAAGAACGGTCACCAGAGGCTTTGTGCATACTTTATAATGTCTGTAAGGTGTTGTAAGTTAACATTTTCCAATCTAGTTCCTGCTTTCACTAGAAAGCCACAAAATCATCAATATCAACCAGAAGATATACTGTCTTGTCATTACATATTTCTAATAGCGATACCTCACAAAAGTGATGTGAAGATTCACACGTAGAATATGTTTAAAGATACAAAGAATTAAGTAGAGTAGTGAAAGAGTATAGCAGACTAACTTATATTAAGATACTATTAAAGAGGAGAATTTGACCTAAGCAATGGTTCCCAAAACACACTGCATAGGAATCACCATGGGGCCTGACAAATAACCAGAGACGCTGCACTCTCGACCCAGACAGCTTCAAGGGCAGAGCCTGAGCATTTGCATCTTTATCAGACTGCACGCCTGCACTTAATAAAACAAAGATTTTTGTCTGAATTATTTCTGATGATTACACTTAACACTTGCTCAAGTTTCCTCAACTGTCAGGCTTGTGGACAACTAGCCTACTTAATCCTGTATACATTGATCATATCATATATATTGCTATATGATCTGCCTTTTTCTGAGCTGCCTTTGTAAACACAGCTTTGATAATTCACTATCAAGAATCATGATTACCTTGAGGCAGTTTTGCCTCTCACTATTACAGTTGTCTTCTAATATGGAATTTAGGGCCCTCTGTACCTTGAGGCTCTGAGCTGTTGAGAGCATAAAAGGGACTGTCCTTAATTCAAGGAGCCCTGGTGGCACATGTGGTTAAACTGCTTGACTGCTAACTGAAAAGTTGGCAGTTTGAACCTACCAGCCACTCCTCGGGAGAAAGATGTGGCAATCTGCTTCTGTGAAGATTACAGCCTTGGAAACCCTAGAGAGCAGTTCCACTCTGTCCTACTGGGTCGCTGTGAGTTGGACTTGACTCAACGGCAACAGGTTTGGTTTTGGTCCTTAATTCAATCTTCCAACACTTTCCCCCTCCCCCCTAAGGTCAAGTTTTCCCTATCCTGCACCTCTTACCCCCTCTCCCTTCACTGTACCAATATGAAAACACAGTAGCCCTCAAGGTCCTAAGCTGAGCCAGCGTTCCTTTTTCGTTGAGCCAACAATTCATAAAGCAACTAGTCAGTTCCGGGTCTCTTTCAGAGCTATGTGGTCCAGGCACTCAGTAGGCACAACCTCCTGAGCAATGAATTACAGCTTGGAGTATCAAGGAGTAAACACTCTAGCCCTTTCCACCAGCAAGGCAGGGCTGTATGCATGAAAAGGCTCACTGAATTGTTCTTTCCTGCCAGAAATGGCTGTGCTTTAGGGAGGCTCTGAGATGCAGCAGAAAAGAGCACAACAGTAGCTGTAAACTTGAGGAAGTTGTGGGGGGAACTATGGAGGGGTTATGGTTAATGCACAGGCTCAGGATCCAGACTGCCATGGTTCAAGTCCTGGCTCTGCCTCTTCTTAGCTGTTGAACTTGAGCAATTTACTTAACCTCTTTGTACTGTAGTTTCTTCACCTGTTAAAACATTGGTGGTGACAACAGCACCTGCTTCACTGCGCAAGTGGAAATTGAAATATGAGACAACCGATGTTGCATTTCTCTGCTTATTCAAAAAAGATAATTAAAAATAAAAAAAGAGAAAATCCAGCAACACTGAGCTGGACTTCCTGAGAAGCGGCAGTGACCTAGGGCTGAGTGTTGACTGCTCCTTTCAGATTGGGCACATGTATGTTTTCATTTTCACAGTCTCCACCAACCTGCTTCACTCACGAATGTTACCTACCTGGTCCCCTTCACTACCCATGGACTGGATGGACTAAGAACATTTTTCTCTCACAAATTCAGTAACTGCAGGAAATCTATGGGTGCAAATACTGCTCAAGCCATCATCCATTTAAAAAAGATCTGGTAGGGGAGGAATCTTATCCCTCAAATGAGTACTGGAAACTTCTATTTTTTTCCAGGAACCAAAGAGTTGAGTATCTTTTTCTGAGATGTTTATTTAAGGGCCATAATTTAAAATTACAGAGCTTATATAAACAATTTATAAATAACTGGGAGCCCAATGCTACAATTCCAGAAAGTGTGATTACGTTGTTGGTCAACCAATAAACAACAAAACTGTTCTCTTCATAGGTCTTCTGCTATTCTTGGAAAGAAAAATAGTTCTTTTGGAGAATTTAATGTTTTGACATAACTATGTTTATTTGCAATTAGCGCTAAAAGTGAGATAATGAAGTATCAAAATCTAACAACATAAAGCCTACACTTAATAAAAGTATTGTCTAAATCATTTCTGATGATTTCATTCAACCCTTCAACACTTCTCAGTTGCTCAACTTTCCACAATGTCTGCATAAAATGGAGTTGTAAACCCAATCTTCTAGATTAAAATAAAAAGCCATTCTTTAGCATAAACCTTCATTCCCCAAATTGGATAAATAAGCAAGATACATTTATTTAAGAAAATTGGGAAGCAAGTTAATTACAAATAATATTTTAGTCTAGCATTTCACCATCAACTTAATTAAGCTGGGGACTTGGGGTACATTGAAAACACCAAAGAATAAATATTTTAGAGTTATAAAAATGTTTTAACATGTAAATTATATTCTGTGGTAATTTTGCAGAGAGAAAAGACGACTTGACGAAACATTCCGAACCGGATAAGGCTGAAAAGTGATAGAAATAGGATGCTATCACGCTGGTATCCTCCTTTTCCAAACCTCTGTTGTTGTGCGCCCTCAGGTCATTCCATTCCATAGGGTAGAACTGCCCCCCCACCCCCATAGGGTTTCCTTGGCTGCCTTTCTCATGAGGAGTGGCTGTGTGGGTTTCAACCTCCAATCTTTAGGTTAGTAGCCAAGTGCTTAACCATTGTGCAACCTGGGCTCCTTTTCCAATCCTCTGTTCGCTTAATATTACGATACCCGAAGTTTCCTTAAAAGAGGAGAGGGAGAGGGGTTTCGGGGAATATTTACGCCTACTTCCCAGGGAGAGGAAAGAACGGTTCCAACAGATGGAACCTTTCGGAGGCCGCGCCAGTCCAGCGCGCCGTCGCAGTTGCCCAGGAGCGCGCAGAGCTCGCCCCGCAGCACTGGCGGCAGGTCGCGCGGAGCGTGCACACCGCTGCCCCCACCGCCCCAGCCCCCACCGCCCCAGCCCCTTCCCCCCGGCAGGGGCCGGGGGTGGGGGAGGCTGCACTCACCGAGGCCGCGCCAGCCCAGCGCGCCGTCGCAGCTGTCCAGGATCGCGCAAAGCTCGCCTAGCAAGGTGGGCGGCAGGTCGAACAGCAACGTGCGTGCCGAGAGCGCGCCGCGGGCCCCGCCGATCCGCGCCGCCGCCCAGGCCATGGCTAGGCTGCCGAAGACCAGGGAAAGGCAGAGGAGGGATGCGAAGCCCAGTCTCCCTCCACCCCCGCGAGCTGCTGTTACACAACCGCGGAAATCCTGCTTCCTCGACAGAGGCCTTGGTAGCAGAACGCGCTGTGCCCAGGTCTTCAAGGGGCGGACCCGCATGACGCAAGGCGCCTCTCCCCAGAGATGCCTCTGTGGACGCCCGGCCTGGCTGTGCCGTCCCCAAGCCTCTGGTTATCCTTTCCTTACTGACTTCATGTTTTGAACTGAGTCCACTCATTCCTCTGGTTTAGGACGTGACTGAAGAGACAAGGCAAAGAGTGAGAGCTGGAGAAAGATGAGAACTGCAGAACTAATACCTGGGTGGTGCAGACAGTTAAGTGCTCAACTACTAGCCAGCAGGTTGGTGGTTCGAACCCACCTAGAGACTACTGGGAAAACAGGCCTGGCGATTTGCTTCTGAAAGGACACAGCCTTGAAAACCTTGGGGAGCAGTTACACTCTGCACAAAATGGGACTCCATGAGTCGGAATTGACTCAAGGGCAATTCACACCACCACCACCATCCTGTCTGCCTGTCCTCGGATGGGCTATCTTCTGGTGTAAATGGTTATGAAACCAGTCATTACTTTTTTTTTTTTTTTTTTAACATTTTATTGTGGCTTGGGTGAAAGTTTAGAGAGCAAATTAGTTTCTCATTCAACAGCTTAAACACATTTTGCTTCCTGACATTAGTTTCAATGCCCTCAATGTGATAGCACTGTACCCACTTCCTCACTGAGTTCTCCACATTTCCATTAGCCCAGCTTTCCTGCCCCTCCCTGCCTACTGAACTTTGTTTTGGGGCAAACGTTACCCTTTTGGTCGTATAGTTGATTGTTCTGAGGAGCACATTGCTCACAGGTGTTACTGTTCTATTATCGGCCTGTCTATTGTTCAGCTGAAACGTGCTCTCCAAGCAGTGGGGTCAGTTCCAGGTTTGAAGGGTGTCTAAGGGCCATAGTCTCAAGTGTTCCACCAGTCTCTATCAGACCAGTAAGTCTGGTCTTTATGAATTTGAATTTTGTACCACATTTTTCTCCCACTCTGTCCAGGACCTTCCATTGTTATCCGGATCAGAGCAGTCGGTAGTTGTGGGGATATATGCCATTTAAACATGGCTGCACTATTGACAGCTGCAGCCCCCACAGGCCTCTATGCTGTATGCGACATGTTGGAGACTTGTCAGCGATGAGAAAGAGATTAGGCACGACTTGTTTTCCCAAACCGATTGTCCTGTTACTGATTGGCTTGTTTACCTGAATTCCTTCTCCCTTGCCCGAAACTTATTGTTACTCACCCAAAGCCCATTGTTCTGTTATTTGCTTCACTGCTTGCTGTATTGACTATAAAATAAACTCCTGGGACTGAAGCCGGGGTTCGACTCCTCAGAGTGACCCTCCTGGCCCCACTTCTCTGTAAGAGTTGTGGAATTGGTTACTGTCTCCGCCGCCCCGACATTTGCCGCTGCTGTGACAGGTAGTGATAGCCAGGCACCATCTAGTTCTTCTGGTCTCAGGCTAGTGGAGGCTGTGGTTCATGTGGCCCGTTAGTCCTCTGGACTAATTGTTTCCTTGAGTCTTTGTTATTCTTCACCCTTCTTTGCTACGGAGGGGAAGAGACCAATAGTTGTATCTTAGATGGCCACTTGCAAGCTTTTAAGACCCCAGTCACTACTTACCACAGTAGGATGTAGAACATTGTCCTTAGGGACTGTGTTATGCCAGTTGACCTAGATGTCCTCCAAGACTATGGTCCTAAGCCCTCAAGCCCAGTAACTCAGTCCCTCAAGGTGTTTGGTTATGGCTAAGGAGTTTTCATAACTTTACCTCTGTGTGCTCTACTATTTACATGGATATCTTGCAGCACATATGAATACGTATGTAGAAATATCCTCTGCCAAACCTAGATATGCTCATGGCTGTACTCCCATACTCCATCCCCCACCTGTTCAGCTTACATACCTACCTATGTATCCACTCATAAATTGTTTGTTGTTACTGTTATTGCAGGATTGTGTATGTAATAGTATTTACTGTTGTTGCTTTTTACCCTTGCATACCTCACGGTGTCTTCCTTTGCCTTGGTCATACCATGCTCATGGATAGGAAGACTTAACATTGTGAAAATGTCAATACTACCCAAAGTGATCTATAGATATAATGCAGTCCCAATCCAGATTCCATCAGTATTCTGGAAAAACTAATAACCAACTTTATATGGAAAGGAAAGAGACCCTGGATAAGCAAAGCACTACTGAAGAAGAAGAACAAAGTAGGAGGACTCACACTTCCCAGTCTCAGAACCTACTATACAGCCACAGTAGTCAAAACAGCCTGGTACTGATACAATGACAGACAATAGACCAATGAAACAGAATTGAGAACCTAGAAGAAAATCCATCCACCTGTGGACAGCTGATCTTCAGCAAAGGGCTGAAATCCATTAAAGGGGGAAGAGAGAGTCTCTTTAACAAAAGGTGCTGGCAAAACTGGATATCCATTTGCAGAAAAATGAAACAGGATCCATACCTCACACCATATACAAAAACTAACTCAAGATGGATCAAATACCTAAATATAAAACCAAAAACCATAAAGATTATGGAAGAAAAAATAGGGGCAAACCTAGGGACCCTAATTTATGGTGTAAATAGACTATCAAACATAACTAAAAATGCAAAAACAACAGAAGATAAACTAGACAACTGGGACCTCCTAAAAATTAAACACTTACGTGCATCAAAAGACTTCTCCAAAAGAGTAATAAGAGAACCTACACACTGGGGAAAAAAAATTTGGCAACGACATATCTGACAAGGAACTAATCTCTAAAATTTATAGAAAAATTCAACACCTTAATAACAAAAAGCCAAACAATCCAGTTAAAAAATGAGCAAAGGACATGAACAGCCACTTCACCAAAGAAGACATTCAGGCAGCCAGCAAATACATGAAGAAATGCTCGCAATCATTAGCCATTAGAGAGATGCAAATCAAAACAACAATGAGATATCATCTCACCCTGACAATAATGCCAATGATCAAAAAAACAGAAAACAGCAAATGCTGGCGAGGGTGTGGGAGATTGGAACTCTCATACACTGCCAGTGGGATTGTAAAATGGTATAACCACTGTGGAAAACAGTATGGCGCTTCCTTACAAAGTTAGAAATAGAGATACCATATGATCCAGCAATCCCACTACTAGGTATATATCCTAGAGAAATAAGAGCTGTCACACAAATAGACACATGGGAATGCATGCTCATCACAGTATTATTCACAATAGCAAAAAGATGGAAACAATCTAAGTGCCCATCAATGGATGAATGGATGAATAAACTATGGTACATACATGCAGTGGAATACTGTGGCACATTAAAGAAAAACAATGAATCCACGAAACATCTCACAACATGGATGAACCTGGAAGATGTCATGCTGAGTGAAATAAGTCAATCACAAAAGGACAAATATTGTATAGAACCACTATTATAAAAAGTCAAGAAAAGGTTTACACACAGAAAAACATTCTTTAATGGTTACCAGGGATGGGGGGTGGAGGAGGCGGGGGAAGCACTAACTAGATAGTAGACATGGATTAACTTAACCAAACCACCAAACCTGTTGCTGCCAAGTCGATTCCAACTCATAGCATGGATGAAGGAAAAAACAATACAGAATAAGGGGGATGTCAATACAACATCACTTCTTTAAAAAGTGTATTTTGTTTCTTCCTGTCAGAAAAGAGATACACGTTCATTGAGGAATACTTGGAAAACACAAAAATTGAAGGAAGGAAATAATCACTCATAACCCCACTCAGCTGAAGACAACCACGCTAAACATTTTGGCATATTTTCCTCCCAATTTCTACTGATTTTTAACAGATAATGTGTATATATGCCATGATTATTGGATTATATAGGTAGCAACAAGATAAAAACAGAAAGATGCCAAATCAGGCTAAAATTGTGTTCATCTTCTTCGCAAGGCTGCCGCTCATCCATACTATTTGGTTTTACTGCATTCTCTTCTCCCTGGGCTTCCTGATGAAACATTTCACCACTTATTCCTGCCTCAAAGTGCTTCACAGAATCTTCTCTTTATTTTCGATGTCAAGTCTATGTAAAATTGACTATTGTTTCTAAATCTTCCAACATTTATACCTGTAATATCCCCACAGCAGGCATAATGCAAATGCTACTGACAAAAAGAGGAAATACTGGGAGGGAGAGTGGTGAGAAAAATCCCAGCCTTCACGAGTTGAAGAGTGGGCAGTGGCCATCAACTGAAAAATATTAGCAGCACCTATTTGAAATCTTTCCTTTGTGATTTTGGGAATGGTGCTTCCTGGAGATGAATAGTGATGACACACTATCATTTAGTACTTCTACCTGAATTTCCAAGAGTCATTCTCAGCTAAAGTATTCCACAAAATATGTTAGAAAATTGGCAAAGTCAATACCGTTTAGGCAAGATTTTCAATATCCCTGCATTCAAATTACTAAGGTCTTAGCTGTCATACTCTACTCACTTAAGAAACCCTACACCTCTTAATGGGACTATCTGACTAAGCTGAGCAACAGAGGCAAGATATAATTAAGTATAGAGTAACTCTTGAATTGCTAGAACAGGGCTGCAAAGTAAATACGGAGAAGAGCGAGGAAATCACTGCAAATGAGGGAACTAGTCAGCAAGGCCTATTTTGCCCACCCTCACACCTCCCCCCACCCCCCCCCGAAAAAAATTGCCTTCGAATTGATTCCAACTCATAGCAACCCTATAGGACGGAGTAGAACTGCCCCATAGGATTTCCAAGGCTATAATCTTTACAGAAGCAGACTGCCACGTCTTTCTCCTGAGGAGCACCTGGCAGGTTCAAACTGCCAACCTTTCTGTTAGCAGCCAAGCATTTAACCACTGCACAACCAGCGCTCCTCTCCTATTTTGCCAGATCTTCTAATGTACCAAGAAGGAAGAATTTTATGTGAAATCTCCTCTATTTTAAGTGTTAGCAATTATATCA